GGGTCGCCGCCATTGCATCCCCCGATGGACGCGACAAATTGGGAGCCAGATATGTCCGGTCACGGAGACGGAGCTATTGTCTGCGGCAAGGAACCTGAAGAGCAAGAAGGCACCCGGGCCGGATTTGGTCCCGAACAGGGCAGTGAAGACCCTGCTATCCCTCCATCCGGGCGTGGTAGCATCGCTCTACAACACGTGCATGCTGGAAGGGACCTTCCCCGACAGGTGGAAGCGCCAAAAACTTCTGCTCCTGCCGAAGCCAGGGAAACCAGCGGGCGAAGCTTCTTCCTATAGACCCATCTGCCTGCTGGACACTATAGGCAAGGTCTTCGAAAGGGTCATCGCAACAAGACTTAACGCTGCCATGGAGGACGCCGGTGGACTGTCTTCCAACCAGTACGGTTTCCGTAAAGGGAAATCTACACTGGACGCGATAGAGAGGGTCACCAATATTGCTGCTAAAGCCATCGCGGGCACCAGATGGAAAGGTGGGACGAAAAAGTATTGTCTAGTGGTCACGCTGGACATACGGAACGCGTTCAACACAGCCGATTGGGGGAGGACACTCGAGGCACTACGGTCCTTCAACATCCCGGATTACCTGCTGAATGTAGTGCACAGCTACCTCAGCAAAAGGGAGTTGGTCCTAGATACCTCTGCGGGCCCCAGGACGTACGAGGTAACAGCCGGTGTTCCTCAAGGCTCGGTACTGGGCCCTCTGCTTTGGAACACGATGTATGACGGTGTTTTGAAGCTCCCACTGCCGAGCAGCACCGACATTGTGGGCTTTGCGGATGATGTCGCGCTAGTTGTGGTGGCCAAGGAAGTTGCGGCCGTGGAGGCAGCTGCAAACTGCGCAATTCGAGCAGTGGAGGAGTGGCTCGCAGTGGCGGGCCTAGAGCTGGCCTCTCACAAAACTGAGGCGGTACTGATCTCAAGCAGGAAAGCAGTGGAGTCGGCGCACATACAGATCGGAGGGTCAACGATAACTTCTCAGCGTGCCATAAGGTACCTGGGAGTCATGCTGGACACCCGCCTCTCCTACCGCGAACACCTGGAGTTCGTAAACAAGAAGGCAAGCGAAACCACAGGATCGCTCTGCAGGATCCTGCTGAATACCAGGGGACCGAAGCAGGACAGACGCAGGCTCCTCGCGACTGTTGTCAAGTCGCAGTTGCTGTACGCGGCTCCAGTGTGGGCTGAGGCCACTGCTGTGAGTAGCTACATGCGAGGTGTTAACTCGACGTACCGCCTGTGCGCCGTTAGAATTTCGAGTGCCTTCAGGACGATCTCGGACGACGCAGCCCTTGTCATCGCAGGCCAAGTTCCCCTGTGTGAACTGGTGCGGGAGGCCAAGGAGATTCGCGCGGCTCTAGCAGGCGAACAGGCGGACCGCAGTACCAAGACCGAGGTGAAGAGAAGAGCCAGGATGCAGAGCGTCGTCAACTGGCAGGCAGCCTGGGACATCTCCAGCAAGGGTCGCTGGACGCACAAGCTCATTCCCAGCATAGAGCCATGGCTAAGTAGGAAGCACGGCCAGGTGGATTTTTACCTCACGCAGGCGCTGAGTGGACACGGCTGCTTCCGAAGCTTTCTTAAGCGCTTCGGGCACGACACGGAGGACGGCTGCCCAGAGTGCGGCAGCGGCATTGTCGAGGACGCTCAGCATGTCCTTTTTGAATGTCGCCGCTTTGGCTATGACCGCCAGATACTCACGGAGACCACGGGGGCAAGAGTTCGGCCAGAAACCTTTGTGCCCCTCATGCTGCTGAAGGAGGCGAATTGGGAAGCGACGGCAGCCTACGCAGCGAGCGTACTGCGAACGCTGCGTCGCACCGATAACGAGAGGAGAGAAGTAACAGCCTAGGTGGCTACCATTGCGCGAAGCAATACCTTGCGGTGATACCGCGCAACCACGGCCCCCTACTTCTGTTCTTAAACTCACTTTTAATGTATATAGTTGTATGAAATAAATGAATATAAAAAAAAATTCCTACGCTTGACAAAACACCCCTCTTACACTCCTACACAGCCTGTTCGGGTAAAGATCACTCTAAACAACCACAAAATCCTACGCATGACATTTGCACCCCTCACACACACTCCTTTGGGGTGAGAAAAAGACAAGACACGACAAAACACCCCTCTCTCACACTCCTACACACCCCTTTCTAACCACACAGGCAGTGAGTGCAGTGAGTGAAGATGCCGGATCCAGCGCTCCGCTGAAAAAGTCGGCCAGCAGCACTCTCTTGAGTGATTCTAGACGGCGGGTAAATATTGTTGTTGCACCTTCTCTCCAGCTTCCCACGCTTTGTGCCGCATTACGCTCAGCTGGCCCGAGCAGTGTTGCACAACGTCAGCAGATCCAGCGGATCGCAGGGCAAACCATGAAAGCGATGTTCTCGAGGATGAAGTCCCTCCAAGAAGGTGCAGTGATCTCCTTCAACCAAGTTGGAGACTCCAACCAGCAAAAAGAGCCCACGGAGTGTAACAAAAGCAAAGGCCCTCTCCGAAACAGCGAGAGCAAGGAGCAACAGACTCCGGTTTGTCTTCAAAAGGACAATGCCGCTCAAGCGGAGTTCTGGCGAAACGCGACACAAGGTCCCATGGTCACCAGCGCGGCGCAAACAGACCCGTGGCGAAGGCTAAGTCAACCCGGCACGGTTCTAGACGGGGGAGAGCCCCCGAATCCACCAGCGCAATCGTCTGCGCGAAGAGCGCCATCGGGATCCCAACAGAAAAAGAGGAGAAATCCAGAAGAGCATGCCAAAAACCGAAGCCCCCGAGAAAAAACAGCCGCGAGAGGCAGCGCTGTAAAGGACGCTGGAAAGGACGCGACCACCGCCTGGAGAATGGCTGCTCCAAAAAAGCGGGCGCGAAAGCCTCACCGCCCGGACGCCCTAATAGTGGAACCGAATGGCAAGACCTACAGCGAAGTCCTAGCGATGGTCACCCGTAGGGACGACGGCCAGCTGCAAAACCTCAGCACCCGAGTAAACAAGGTCAGGCGCACAGCGAACGGGAACCTTGTTCTCAACAGAAGCGAGGACACCAGCACGAAGGCAATAAAAGAGAGCCTTGAGGCGGTTCTAGGAGAAGCGACTGCGGTGCGAGCGCTATCCGAAAGCGCGAGGACAAGGACGGTGGTGATTAGCGACCTTGACCCGCTAGTAGAGGCCGAAGATGTCACCAAAGCTCTGGTGGACCAATTCGCCGTGAAGGCCGAATCGGTTAAACTGAGGAGTCTACATCCATCACACAGAGACACCCAGACGGCAGTGGTTGGACTGCCCAGCAAAGACGCAGAAGCGGTTCTCTGCAAGGGTAAAATCAGGTTAGGATGGTCTATATGCAAAGTGAAGGAGAGGGACTCGCAGCCCAGGTGCTACAAGTGCCTAGAGATTGGGCACATTGCTATAAAGTGGCATAGCAATGTGGACAGAAGTGGGTGCTGCATTAAGTGCGGCAAGACGGGGCACAAAATCGCTCAATATCCCAACGAGAGCGTATGCTTTATATGCACCGAAGGAGGACCGAAATCGAGGAACCACCAAGCAGGAAGCAGGCGGTGTCCTCACGCCGCAAAAAGAGCCGTAGCCCCGCGAATGGAAGTGATCCAGATAAACCTGAATAAACAATGCAGTCATCGAGGTAATGTAATGCGGATCTGGCTGTCATCAGTGAACCCTACAAAGTCAAAGACGACGGCGACTGGATAACGGACACATCTGGCAAGGCCGCGATATGGCTGTGCAAAAGAAACGGCAAATCTTTTCTGGACGTGCACAAGGGCTCGGGTTTCGTCCGAGCTCGTATAGGCGGAATGTGGGTCTACAGCTGCTATCTAGCACCTAGCCTCTCCACGACGGACTTTAGCCATGCGCTGGACACAATCGCCTTCGACGCAAGGGGCCGTTACCCCGCTATCATCGCAGGCGACTTCAACGCGTGAGCCGAAGAATGGGGGTGCCCCAGCAGCAACATAAGGGGGAAAACCCTACTCAACGCCTTTGCATCGCCAGACGTTGCGCTGCTAAACGAAGGGACGCAGGAGCTGGAGCTGGGTCCATCATAAACCTCACATTTGTGAGCTCCGCGTTAGCCCGACGCTCTCACTGGAGAATCGGCGACTTCGACTGCACACGGCCAGGACCAGGAACCCGGATCCGAGCAGTCAAAGGCTACCGCCAGGAGACGCTAAACGCCGAGAAGATGAGCAGGTGCCTCGCCGACATGCACTGCTCCACGGAAGCAGACGCAAACACCAACGCGGACGCGATAGGAGCCAGCTTGGAGGATGCGTGCGGGACTGGGATGCTGATGCGCAAACCATACAGAAGAAACCACGAGCCGGTACCTTGGTGGAAATTCACGGTATTTCTCTTAAAGCTATTATAAGGAAAGTAATAGTGATTGTGGCGCACGCGCCTTCTAGGCGGGTTCGTCACATGTTGGGGAAAAGTGTGATCACGTACCCTTTTGCCTGATTATCACAGGTGTTGCCGTGCACGTGAGAAAAGTCGCACACCCAAAGTATTCAAAGATGGTTATCTTAAAGGAACATGTCCGATACTGTTGGGGAATAATGTTTTCTTTGATTGTAAAACTAATTAAGAAATAAAAAGAACCCCAATAAATTAAATCTCACAAGCTAATGATTCTCAGATGTGGAATATTTTCAAACACACATTTTTGTTTCCGCCCCAGAACGTTAAAGTGGTAAATTGTCTAAGATTCTGTCCTTTCCACAAATGGGTCAACCCAACCTGCGCACTTGTCCATTACCTAACCACAATATCACGACCGCGCAACAACTCGCAAGTAGCCGACATATCTCTGTCAAGAAAATATTTTTCATTCTCCGTACCTGTAATTTTAACTCGAAATACAAGGTCAGAAGTTTATTTTGTAACATAACAATACTGTTTGCTCAGGAAGCAGGAGTAAATATGCAACTTCGCGAATCCACTGGTTTTATTTAAAACATTGCTTAGCCGTCATCTATGTAAATTGTGCGTTTATTTCAAGAGCTTTTTCTATTCAACAATGTTACCAACTCGCTCGTTTCAGATCTTCCCTATTACATTGGTATCTAGAGTTAGTATTTTATGGTAATCTAGTAGTTTTTTAATCTAGTATTTTGTTGTATGATCGTTGCTTGCCGACTTGTAGGGGGTAATTTATTAGCGATTATCAGCTGTGCTACGCCCCTGCTCGCAGCTTTCGATAGTCGGCATCGCAACGACCATAGAAAACAAAACAAACAGTGAGATGACCAAACATCGCCCGCGTTGAAGCGCTGTAGGCCTTCAATTAATGGGAAGAGGTGCCAGATGATGTACTGAGCGTTTGTATACGCCTTGCTTGGTTTTTACTAGAGCAACGCGCACCTTGCCATCCGTTCCGTGCGTTACTTCGGTGACTCTGCCGAGCAGCCACTTCTGGGGCGGTAAATTGTCCTCTTTGATGACGACGATGGTTCCTGGTAGAAGGTTGGCCGATTCCGTTGTCCACTTAACTCTTTGCTGCAGCCCAGCTATGTAGTCACGGGACCAGTCTCGCCAAAACCGTCGCTTGATGGCTGATATAAGCTGCCAGCGTTGTAGATGAGTTAGGTCGTCGTCCGGATGAGGAGGTGCCGATCCTGGGGGTAGAGCAGCGAGCGTGGTGCCTACCAGAAAGTGGGCTGGAGTAATAGCCTCTCCGTCGTTAGGGTTGCTGCTGTCAGCTACTAGCGGACGCGAGTTAAGCACTGCTTCCACTTCAACCAGGATCGTCTGGACTTCGTCCTCCTTCAGCAAGGCGTTTCCGACGGCCCTCAAAAAGAGGTGTTTGGCGGACTTGACGGCGGCCTCCCATAGGCCCCCGAAATGAGGCGACCGGGGCGGAATGAAGACGAACTCAACCTGGTGATGGACGCCGTACGTTCCCAGTGTGCTGCGGACATCGGAGGCCATCTCCTGAAGCAGCCGTGAGGAACCAACAAAATTGGTTGCATTGTCGCAGTAGAGTCGATCGAGCTGGCCGCGCCGCCCAACAAATCTGCTGAGACAGAGGATAAATGAGTTAGAAGTGAGATCCTTCAATAGTTCTAGGTGAACCGCTTTCGTTGAAAAACATATGAATACTGCGACATACATTTTTAACGCTGCCTTGCCCCGCACTCCTAGCGACACTCGGATTGGACCGAAGAGATCGACTCCGCTTATTCTAAAGGGTCGACTGATTCTGACACGGTCAAGAGGCAGATTTCCCATTATTTGCGACATTAACCGTGGCTTATACCGGAAACAGTGCGTGCATCGGCGCACAACAGCACTGCACTCGCGTCGTGCATTGATCAACCAAATTGTCTGCCGAAGCAGGCCGACTAGGGCTCGTGGTCCTGCATGGCAATTAGCATAGTGCAGGTGCTCGATGTACAATTTGACAAAACGATTCCCTTTAGGCATTAATATTGGGAATTTGGCACTGGGTTCTAGATCCGCGTGCGCTAGTCGACCGCCCACCCGCACCAATGTTAAAGTACGGGTTCCGAAAGTTTCGTTGCTGATAAATGGGCTAAGTTTTTGGTAAGAACTGGGTAATGGCAAATTTTTCTTTAATTTATTGAATTCGTCTGCAAACGATTCACGCTGAACAGCCTGCGCGATATAAGAGAACGAAAAACTAAGCTCGGTGGCTGATAGGACGTGGTCGTTCCACAATTTCCAGGCCCTGCCGTAAACAAAACGAAAGATAAATGTTGTAATTCTCACAACCTTCACATAGGAAGAAGAATTTTCAACTAATTGTAGCAGCGGATGATTTGAGACGGCAGCAACCGTATGGGCGATTACTGGCGGTTTCATTTCGAGTTGGCTTTCGAGGGGCGTGTCAGCCAAGTGCTGATTAACTGGCCAATGAGTCGAGTCCATGGACAAAAACGAAGGGCCTTCAAACCATAGCGTCGTATCGAGATCTTTGACCGTAGTCCCTCGAGAGGGTAGGTCCGCTGGATTGAAGTTAGTCGGGACGTGTCGCCAGACTGCAGTTGGAGCCAGTTCGTGAATAGCCGAAACCCTATTTGCGACGAATGTTTTAAGTTTTGACAGATGAGTGCGCAACCAGAAGAGAACAACTTCAGAATCCGACCACATAGTAACCTGCTCGACGCGGTAAAGATTAAGCGTTTGCACATCACTCCATAACTTCGCTAAGAGGTGAGCCGCACAGAGTTCTAGTCGTGGAATACTAAGTCTATTGATCGGTGCTACCCTGGATTTGGCTGTTAGCAACTTAACTTTTATTCCCTCTGAGGTCACTGACCTTACGTACAGACAACAACCGTAAGCATCTGTTGACGCGTCCGCAAATCCGTGGATTTGATAAGTGCCGCCAAACTGAGTTCCGACATGCCGAGGGATGTTTAACGTTTCTAAATCTGTAAAGCAAGATGACACCGTCTTCCAATGATGCAGTACGTCAGCGGGTATTTCGTCGTCCCATCCAATTTGTAGCGACCAGAGTTTTTGAATAAATATCTTTGCAAGGGTAACGATAGGGAAAATGAGTCCTAACGGATCGAACAGCCGTGCTGCAAATGAAAGCATGGATCGCTTTGTGGGTGGGTCTTCAAGCTGTAGATTCTGGGCGTTGAATTTGAACGTATCCTGTTTTGGACTCCAAGTGAGACCCAAAGTTTTCGTATCGGCGTCTTCTCCAATAAGGACTTCTGGCTCGGCGACCTGTCGTTCGTTGGGGGTACAATTCGACGCCCACTTAGCCAAGACGAACCCTGCGGAATCTAAAATCTCTGTGATTTCCCCTCGCAATTTCCTTAACTCACGAATGGAATCGGCCCCTGTTAGCAAGTCATCGACGTAAAAATCATTGGCTAGAGCCTGTGAAGCTAAGGGAAGAGATTCGGAGTAGATCTCGCTAAGCTGCTTCAAACACCGTATTGCAAGGAAAGGAGCACTTGCCGTACCATACGTAACGGTGTTAAGCCGATAAATTTGTAGAGGGTCTTGCGGGTTCTCACGCCATACAATTAACTGAAACTTTCTATGGGTCTCATCTAATACCACTTGTCTGTACATTTTAGTAATGTCTGCCGACATAGCAAATTTATGGAATCGGAATTTAAGCAGCGTGGCATACAGGCAAGGCTGAATTGTTGGCCCTACCAAGAGAATTTCATTCAATGAAATTTGGGAAGTGGTTTTGCATGACGCGTCGAAAACGACTCTTAATTTAGTTGAAGAGCTTTCAGGTCGGAGAACGCACTGATGCGGTATAAAATAATGAGGCTCGTTGGGTATCCTATTATCTGTAGCCTCCATGTGACCGAGAGCTAAGTATTCCTTCATAAACTGGATATACAACGAATGATTTGTTGGGTTCCCTTTCATACGCCGTTCTAAGGACAAAAACCGACGTCGTGCAGTTTCATACGAGGAACCGAGACACGAAGGACTCGATTTGAAAGGCAGGCTAACTACAAATTTTCCTGTAGAGTCACGCGAGACGGTGCTAGCAAACGATTTTTCACTCAACACTTGATCAGGGGTATAGAGCTGCGATTTTGTTAAATCGGGTATTCTTTCAATTTCCCAGAACTTCCTTAGCGTGTGATCCAAATTGTTGTCCTCAGTAGCTACTAGAGTGGAGTATGAGATACATCGTGCGGGCGGATTTTCTTTATAGGGCCCTGACGCTACCCAGCCAAAGACAGTATTTTGTAGAGTTGGACCTGAGTGCTTGTACCGTATTTGTCCTTCCCTAAGCAGGTCGAAAAACAACTCAGCGCCGATCAGCATGTCGACGCGTTTGGGCTTGTAAAAGTACGGGTCTGCTAAGGAGATATCATTACGAATCCAATCGGAAGATATTGCGGTTGCTTCTGGACGATACCCTGAGATTGACGGTAAAATTATGCATTCAACTGCCGCTTCGAAGGAGTTTAATCGCGACCCAATTGTCGTCTGGACTGCGAAGCTAGCTGAACACGCGGAATTCCCAATGCCTGAGAATTTAGCCTCATGCCGGTATCGTTTTTATTGCAGATTATTTACTAATTCCTCCGTTATAAAATTAACCTGTGACCCTGAGTCTAGCAAAATCCTAGCGCACAGCTTGGCTCCTGACTGACTTTGAACCTCGACAAGGGCCGTTGCAAGTAAGACGTGATCTACCTTTTGCGGCATAGGCTGACTAACCGAGGCACTTAGTGACTGTTGGGCTACCTGATTGTCAATAGGCGATGACAATTGATTGCTCGACGGTACTTGGGAGGTTGAGGTATACCGATGCAGAAGTGTGTGATGAGCCTTCGTACAAATTCGACAACGAGATGACTGGCATGTTGCGACACTATGTCCTCTGCGTAGACAATTGATGCAAAGTGGTGCATTCTTTGCGAACTTGAACCAAGCTTCTACCGAGATATTAGCGTACGATGTACAACTCTGGATGAAATGGCTGTCTGACTTGCAGAAGCAACATTTAGACTTAAGTTCTTCGACAGGTCGGGAAACTGCTAATGCCGCTTTGCTATATCTGGGCTTGTTCCCTAGCTGTCCCTGTTTGGGAGCTTTTCTGCCTGTCGTGGATTCCTCAGCCGCTAAGTGTTGGTATCGTTTATTAAGCGCCTCTGAGCAATCTTTCCATAACGGAATAGAATCGTAACTAAGTTGCTCTTCCCATCGCGACCGCGTTTTGGGATCTACTCTAGACATGACGATGTGAATTATCATTGCGTTGGCGAGAGTTTTCTCGTTGCCGAGCGAGAGAAGAGATTCATATATAGCAGTTACAGTGTCGATAAGGGATCGCAACGCCGAGGCGGATGGCGCTTGCATTGTTGGGATTTCAAACAATCGAGAAATACTTTTAAAGTATATTAGGCACGGATTATCATAAACCCTGACCAAGGCCGCATGGGCCTTTGCGTAATTTGCTTCTGTGATCTGGTAAGCCTTTACTGTTCCTAAGGCTTCCTTCTCTAAACAGGATAACAGATGATTAAACTTTTCAACATTTGATAGAGATTCGTCATCGTGAACTAAGCTGTTAAATAAACCTATAAAATTTTTGAACTCGGCATAGTTGCCGTCGAATTTTGGGAGTTTCATTTGTTTTAGTATTCTGCTGTGACTTGCTGAAGAGTTTAAACTAATGTTATTTGCGAAGGTAGAATGATTTCTTTCTCCTTCGGGCCGGTTACAATTTGACATTAATAATGCCTTTGGGGATACACATAATTCTTCTAACTCCTCTCTACATGCTAATTCGTTATTAATTGCTTCTAATTGTTGTTGCAACTCGAACGCCTTTTCGATGTATCCATTTAAAATACCTAAACGACATTCCATTTCGCACGCATTAGGGGGAGTTACTTGACCACGAACTGTGGCCTCAATTCTAATTATATGATTCTTATTCCGCTCAAGCTGTTCAAGCAATTCGTTTGTGTCGTCCTCCGCTGAGGGAGTTCTGCCAAAACGTTTCCGACTTCCACCCATTGTGACTAGCAACTTCCCGTTTTTAGATTATTTCTAACAAGCAAATGCCAATGCAATGCTGCTGGTAGCGATCGAATGTCTGCACTGTCCCACCGTACTAAATCCTCAGCCAGGCTATGTGCGATTGGAGCAAGGAAGGCGAAAAGACCGACACAACCAAAGAGCGCGCGAAGATTGGGGCCAGGCAGATTAAGCAAGACCGAATGTGTGTGTGTGTATATGTTGGGTGGGCCTTTGTGTGTGTATGTGACTGAAAGCCAAGTGAATTATGATATGTGTTTGTGCAAGTGATGGAAATAACGTTTGCATATATTTACGTAGGCCACTTTACCATATACAATACGGATCGCTGTACTTCTCGGTGTTTCCGACGAGGTTAGGTTGAAGCCCGCTGATGCTCTCCTGTGACGAAATGGAGGTTAGGGACGCAGCCGATGTGCGCTCCCTCTACGATGATGTATGGGGCTCACCCTTCTCCGGGTGCTCCAGCGACGAAAGACGACTTTCTATTGCACCTCTCTATGGGTGCCGACGAGAATGTGGCGAGGAGATGGACGCAGCCGATGTGCGCTCCCTCTACGCCGAGATGTACGTGGGTACTGCGCTCCGGCTGTGCGGGCGCTCCAACAACGAAAGATGAAATTAAAGTTGCACGGGCGCGTAAATGCGTCTCCAACTTGGACCATGCACCCAATGTGCGATGCCGATGCACTTGTTGCGTAACGCGAATTGGCCGCGTGCACTTGTTATATAACTCTTGGTGATTTGCCAACTTATAACAATACGCAAATCCGAAGTTTAGAAGACGGCCAAGAACCAGTGAGTCCACCCGGGGGCGCCAATGTTTGCTCAGGAAGCAGGAGTAAATATGCAACTTCGCGAATCCACTGGTTTTATTTAAAACATTGCTTAGCCGTCATCTATGTAAATTGTGCGTTTATTTCAAGAGCTTTTTCTATTCAACAATGTTACCAACTCGCTCGTTTCAGATCTTCCCTATTACATTGGTATCTAGAGTTAGTATTTTATGGTAATCTAGTAGTTTTTTAATCTAGTATTTTGTTGTATGATCGTTGCTTGCCGACTTGTAGGGGGTAATTTATTAGCGATCATCAGCTGTGCTACGCCCCTGCTCGCAGCTTTCGATAGTCGGCATCGCAACGACCATAGAAAACAAAACAAACAGTGAGATGACCAAACAAATACATTTATTCATTTAATTTGGAATTGTGAACATGTTTTATTATATGTTGAAATTAATTTTCTGACTTCGTTCCGACGATTTGCTTAGAAAAGGCAGGCGCACGTTCCGACGTCAATTCAGGTTTACAAAAAGTAAAGTGTTCACCATAATTCGTAGTTTTTAGACCAATTATCTGCAATAAATTGGTCAATTTCCTCATGAAATTTCATATTGTTAATTTTGTTTTCTTGTAGGTCTTTACACGTCTAGTCTCAACTTTAAAATGATGTACAACAATTATTTTATTTTCCCATTTCCTCGATGTTAATTAGCTGACGACTCCCAAAAAACATCTTTAGAAATCGATTCTTTTCCACACCTTTACAAATAATTTGTTTTCCGCTTATAATGGTCCTTAGATACTTTCGAGTTTGTGGAAAACTGTTTTCTCCATCGTTCCAAAAAATTTTGTGATGTGTATTGGTTAACCAAATTGTAGTCTTTTGAGATTTTGTATTTAGCAAAGTAAAATCATATGGTGGTTCTATTAAATAACTATTATTCAAGTTTGGTTCTTTTTCGAATAAAATTGCAATTTCCTTTAGAATAAAATTTTTATTATTATCAAAGAAACCTTGAACATTAATCGAAACAGTATCTTTCAACATTTTTCTAATGTTAAACAACTCGTTGTACTAGTCCGTTTAATGGGTTATATTCAACTAAACGGTCATGTATGAGGAGACAGTAAGCTTGGGTATTTTTATGACTTGGTGTCTTCAGTTCTATTGAAATTCTCACACCAATAGGACCAGTTTTCACTGATTCAATTGAAATTAGTTTGGGGTTAAGAATTAGTAGTAGAATAATACGGGTCCTGGCTCACTAGGTAATAAATCATGTAAAAAATGGGGGTGGGGGTGACCCTAATTAGTCACGCATGGTTGCACACAGGTGTTTTAAGGACCTAATTTGCATAATTAAGTAATAAATCATGTGTGCATCCTAACAGTCACCCGCACACCCTTTTTTCACACTTTTATTACTTAATTATGCTAATTAGGATGCACACAGGTGTTATAATGACCTAATTATCATAAAAATGAGGTTAGAAAGGGTGGTGAGGTGTGAGGATCACCCCAAAGAAATGGTGAAAGTGGGGGCGGGGTGTTTTGTCATGTCTTGTCTTGTCTTTTTCTCACCCCAACGGTGTGTGTGTGTGAGGGGTGTTTTGTCATGCGTAAAAATGTGTGGTTGTTTAGAATGATCTTTACCCGAATAGGGTGTGTAGGAGTGTGAGAGAGGGTTGTTTTGTCATGCGTAGGAATTTGTGATTGCTTGTGTGTGAGGGGTGTTTTGTCATGCGTAGGAATTTGTGGTTGTTTAGAGTGATCATTACCAGAATAGGGTGTGTAAAAGTGTGAGAGGGAAGTTTGTCATGCGTAGGAATTTGTAAAACGATATTTAGGCGGAAGGGGAGGAGGAGGGGGAAGTTGTTTATTATGCTTGCCCTTTTGTCATGCGTAGGAATTTGTAAAACGATATTTAGGAGGAGGCGGAGGAGAAGAGGGTACTTGCTTGATTAAAATAGGGTTGCAGTTGATATCTGTTAGTGTAACCTGTCTTGGGTCTTGTGGTCAAAAGGTGTTGGTTTGGGGGATATTAGACCGCATACTTTTGTGGTGTGAAACAAGCGTGAGTTCGAGATCTTACCCCTCTTTAGCGAGCATTAAATGGGAAAAAAAGCGTTAATATCTAAAGTATGTTGCTTCTAACTTGTATTAAGTTAAGGGGATGGTAATCTTAAATGTTGTTATTCTATAGTGGAGGTGGAGGTGGTGGTGGTTCCTAACAGAATATAAACAAAAACAAATGAGATCGTTTATTTACTCAAATACGTTTTTATATAATCATATTTGAACATTTTTTCTCACGAGCTTATAGAAAGAGAAAACGGTTACCTTCTAAGTTTTAAAAATCCGAATTCGATTTGTGTAAGCTTATCAAATTGATTAAAATTAAAATGCTTTACTAACTGTTAAGTAAAGTTGTGAGAACTTGTGAACTACCCAGATTTGAGTTGTGTAAACTAATCAAATTGATAAAAAAAAATACTTTACTAACTGCAAAGTAAAGTTGTGTGAACTTCTGAACTACCCAGATTTGAGTTGTGAGTTATCAAATTGATAAACAGTAAAATACTTTACAGTTAAAGTAATACAATTATACAAAGTGAAAAGTACAAATAACATTCCAATACAATATTTACAAAAACAAAAAAATCAAAACAAAAATGAATAAGTATTGTGCAAAGTGCAGCATTACCCTCTCGGGTAACACTTCATGGAGTCATCATCTGCGAACGGAGCAACACGAGAGGAATGTTATTGAACCAGTGGATACAAGGATTAAAAATATCAGTTATGGATTCCAAGGAAAGAGTATTCACTACCTCTATGAAAATACCAAGAAAGATGTCATTTATACAACACAATTTATGGAGGAAGCAGGAGAAGCTTTTCTACCTCACTGGTACCCATTGTTGGAAAGTTATTTATCGGTGAAAATAAATTTTTAACTTTTTTAAGAGTACGCACTTTTGAAGGAAGAAAAGGAATGCATTGAAATAAAGTCATTTCAAAGTAAGATGACTGTTCACGCCAAAAGGGCGTTTAATTTCAGGAGGCAGTGTCGAGCGGCAGTTTTATCCAGATTTCTATATCTCGCGCGCTCGCACTGCCGTCCGCTCTCCCTCTCCATCTCTCCCCTAAGTCTCCGCTCTGCTCTGGAGCGCTTAAGTTAAGTTAGGCTTAAGGAGTTCATGTTTCAAAGTGTACTAATAAACACCTACGCACGTCGCGTAAAAACCCAAAAGTACCCGCGTATTTTTATGCGTACCACTCGATCTTGGGGCTTCAATTATTTCAACGATCAAGCCGCAGCGCCCCAACATTTTGGTCCACTTCGAGCAGGATTTCAAAATCTTTGGACTTTCCTCTCCTGGAGTTTCCTTTGATTTTGTCCCAGCAGGCTTGAAACACTCCAGATAAGTTCCGCTTACTATAATTGCCGGTCATACAGCCAGTTTTTCGAACCCTATTTCGACTAACTTTCTGTATGATATATTGTCTAAATCCAAAAGAGATTAATCCGACGCAACGGCACTTAATATATGTATTTCAATTCCGTTACTTGTGCCCGACAATATTCCAGTTTCCTTTGCCCACAGTTGCACACTTGAAACAATTTCAGTAAATATTTCAATGCTACTATTCAACGAAAATATTTGTCAAATATATTTTCAATTCCAATCGTGTGTAAAATATAACTCAGCCGCAGTAAAAAATTCCCGGTCATAAAATTTTCCCTTAAGATTTGCACTCTTTATTTTTTACTGTGTTCCAGCTGCATGTGTATATTTACAAAAACAATCTAATACAGTCCACTCGAACTACTTTTCTCGACCTACAAATACGGCTAAACTATTTCTAAAATTAAAAACAAAGTGACAATATCCACAAATTTACTCCAGCAAATCGTTTGCAATTTAGTTGTGCAGGTGACAAACAAACGCACCGACACACAAACATAAGCGAAGTCTTTCCCATTCCCGCAACGTTATTCTGCTATTCGCACCCCACATATATACATACGTACAGTGTACATACATACGTATACCGTATATCGCCAGTGCACAGTGGGTCAAGAGCTCACAAAAAGTGTTCCTTCCAAACATACAATATTAAAGTCCGTAATTCTTTACATAAGTCCGACAATCCGATACAATAAATATTTATTGACTCTGCCTATCCTACAGTGTGACCGTATATATTTACAATCTTAATTGGTTCCTAAATTCCAATTTGATTCTAATCCGTTTCCTTACATCTGAATTAAAATTCGAAATTATTTAACGTCATGGCAACATCAGTAAAATCCGCTTTAACCCGATTTATGGCCACAGCTGACTGTCTGATCCACTTTGAGGCCACTGTGAACGCTCCAGGTGCTCCTACACAAACGTTATCCGCCTATAAAATCCGTCGCGATCACCTCAATTCCTTGTGGCAAACGGTAAAGGCAGCATACGACATATGCTCCGACTGCATTATAGCTGCAGGCGAGAGCGCCGCAGAAACAAAATCCATACTAAAGTCCAAGTATTACCAAACGTACTCCACTTATGAAATATTTGCCGCGCAGCTGATGGAACAAATCCAAAAAGGCTCCTCCCAAATACCTCAAGCTCCAGTAACTCCGTCC